TGCCAGGCTGCTACCGTAGCAGCAGCGCCCACATGTACCCAGCAAAGAGCCTCTGAATGGCCCTCCCGAGCGCAGATACCCCCAGAGGGTAGATGCGCTGAGACCAGCTCCAGCTATGGCTGTCTCAGGAAGCCCGGCTATGGCTGCCTCACGTAGCTCAAGTCTCTGGTGCCGCTGTAGACTTTCAGCGCTGCACAACTTGGTTGGCCCCGAACGCTGCACGCAAAAAATGAAAAGCCAAAAGTCCCCAACCGATTTTCCTAAACTCCATATAGACTTCCTACTCTAGCCTAGACCTAGACCGGACTGACTGACTAAGCGGTACGGTTGCTGTTTCGGCCTCTCGGCCTCTACCGGACCCGGCTATAGGCTATAGGACCGTCTAGCAGAATAGGCCACTTAGGGCCTGTTTGTCCTAGGGGTAGCCAGGGCCTGCTATAGGCAGTTAGGGTAACTGTAGGAATTGGGTTAGTACCGGGCCTGTATTTTCCCGAAATTGCAGATCTGTCCCTCACGAATTTCCTCACAGGCAGGTCTCTCGGTTAGCCCCTAGCCAAACAAAATTACGAATCTAACCCTCTAGGTTAGTGTACAGCCTCGCAGTCGATCTCGGCAGCAGAAATCAGCAAGTCTTTGCAGGCTTACCGTCTCGGGGAGCGAGGACCTCCGAGCTAGGGGTGCAGACGCGGTGAACGGCGAAGGTTACCCTTCTGAGCCGCTTCATACCGCAACACAATAGACTTCGCTGTCTTGAGAAGGTCCTTCCTATAATACCACCGATTCTCCGTCGGGGGTTGGAAGGCGAACTTCATAAGATACTGCCTGTCGGGGCAAGTGCCCCACTCATCCTCAATGGCCTCCATGTCATATCCCTTACCAGGGATTGGTGGACCCCACTGAGGGGGCCGGTCAGGGAATGCATCAGCTGGAGTAAAGGGAAGCAGCTTAGATGCATGGAAGACCGGATAGGTACGTAGATGCAGGGGGACATCAATGGTGTAGGACGGACCAAAGGGATCAGCCCCTACTGTATCTAACACCTGCCACGGACCCAGGTATCGTGGCAACAGCTTAGGAGAAATATCCTCCTCCCTCGACAACTCTGAACTGGCCACCCAAACATAATCACCAGTGTGGATGGGGGAAGGTCTGCTATGGCGATTAGCTTGTTCAATCATAGCCTTTTGGGCTTTGAACAAGTTCGCCCGAGCTCTTTCCACATCCAGACGATAGCGTCTGGTGAACTCCGCTGTGCCTGGGGTCAGGTCTGTCTTAGCCTTGTCGATGATATCATCGAGAGGCTGACGTGGCTCTCGTCCCCAATGTAGTCGATAGGGACTGAATCCAGTCGAGGAGTCGACAAACATGTTATACACGAGCTGTGCACGAGCGAGATGGATGTCCCAGTCTTGTTGATCTGGTGAGATGACAGGACGCAGCAATTGGAACAAGATCTGGTTCATCACTTCAGCCTGACCATTGGCTTCAGGATGACGACTAGAAGTCATATCCAGTCGAGAGTGTAGGTAGTCCTTACAGTAGGACTGCCACTCATCGCTGCAAAATCGGGGATCTCGATCACTGACAATAGAAGTGGGCGGTCCATGGTGCGTGACCCACCTCTCAGAGAAGGCTGCTCTCACAGTCGGGACCCTTGCTACCTCTGGCAAGGGGATGAACTCTGCGTATTTGGAAAACCTGTCAACGCAGACCATGACCTGACGCATGCCACGAGGGGTGGTCTTGCCTAAGTCTGTAAAGTCAATAGACACAGACTGAGCAGGACGATCAGGTATGGGCAAGGGCTTGAGCAATCCCAGAGGAGGTTTCCGCTGAACCTTATTCCTCTGACATAGCTCACAGGTCTCCACATAGCGCAACATATCACTCCGCATCTCCTTCCAGAAGAAGCGCTGCGACAGGGCTGCATACGACTTCAAGAACCCAAAGTGTCCACGCGCATCGTGGCACTCTGACATCAGCAGTGTCCTAAGTTGTTGATCCTCAGGAATGCATAAGCGCTCCTCTCCTCTGCTGTAAGTGTACAGCAGATTTGAACTCATGGCATAACCAGGTTCAGAATTGGGATCTGCTTGCAGATTCCTGACAATGGGTCCATAAGTCGGATCCTGAGGCAGTAAGCGAGTGATGGTCTGACGAACCTCCTCTCCAAAGGAGTGAGTAGAGGAGATCAGCGCAAAAGAATCAGGCCTACGAGAGAGGGCGTCAGCTACCTCATTGTAGCAGCCCTTCTTGTGCTTCAGTTCAAAGTCAAATAGGTCGATGAACTAAATGTAGCGTGCCAACTTGTCGTTCAACTCTCCCTGGGACTTCAACCACTGCAAAGTGGAATGATCAGAGAAGATCTTGAAATGCCTGCCCAGGAGAAAGTGCTTTCAATGTTTCTGGGCACTGAAAAGAGCATATAGCTCTTTCTCGTAGGTAGAGTCCTGAAGCTTCTGAGTCTTGATCTTCTTACTCGTAAACTCGACAGGTCTCAGACCATTCCCATCATCCTGCTGAAGTACTGCCCCAATGCCATACTGACTGGCGTCACTGGTCAAGACAAATGGCAAAGTGGGGTCAGATAGCTTCAGAACAGGGGCACGAGTCAAGGCCTGTTTGAGTCGTGCAAAGGCCATCTGGCAGTGAAGAGACCAAAGAAAAAGAGTGTCTTTCTTTGTGAGGTTAGTCAGGGGTGCAGCCACTGCAGAAAAGTTCCTGACGAACTTTCTGTAGTATGAGGCCAGACCCAAGAAAGACCGGACATCTCTCATTGTCTGGGGCTGTGGCCAATCCTGAATAGCAACAATTTTGGCTGCTTCAGGGGCCAGACCATCTCCAGAGATTACATGACCCAGGTAGACCACAGAGGGAACTCCAAAAGAGGATTTTTCTTTGTTGATCTTATATTGGCTGTCACGTAATGACTGAAGAACCAGAGTCAGGTGCTCCGCATGTTCCCTGGTAGTTTTGCTGAATACCAGGATATCATCCAGGTAGACAACCATAAACTTATCCAGGTAAGGCCTGAAGATGCGGTGCATCTCTGTCTGGAACGTGCCAGGTGCATTGCAAAGTCCAAATGGCATAACCAGATACTCACAAGTACCATATCTGGTTTTGAAGGCTGTCTTGTAAACATCCGCCTCTGCCATCTCAATCTGGTGATAACCAGACTTGAGGTCGACTTTGCTGAAGATGATGCATCCCTGGACCATATCCAGAAGGTCATCGATCCTCGGAAGGGGCTCTGTACTCTTCCTAGTGATCTTGTTGAAACCCCTGTAGTCGATGCACATTCTGAACTCGCCACTCCCTTTGGGAACAAAGAGGACTGGGGCGCCGAATTCAAAAGTGTTGGGCCTGATCCAGCCCTTGCTGGTCAGGGTCTCAAGCTGTCGTCTTAGCTCCTCAAGCTCAGTAGGGGACATCCTGTAGATGCGGCCCTTGGGAGGAACCGCTCCAGGCAGCAGCTCAATGTGATGCTTGGTTGGCCGGTTGGGTAACCCGAAGGGCTCCTGCATCAGATCAGCATACTGGTCCACCACCTGCTGTATCTCAGGAGGACAGGAAACAGTGGTAGCGTTTGTCTGCTTGACCAGAGCTATGAACATACGCTCGTGGTCATACTGGCGTGAGAGAGCATAAAACTCTTTCGCTCTCAGGCAGAAGCATGAGGTATTAGGGTGGTGTTCAGTAGCAATCATGCATGGCTGATACACCCGCGTGCTGTTCGGCAGCTCAACCTTGGGGATCTGCCACTCAATCCTTGGGTTGACTGCTTTCAGCCACTGCATGGAGAAAACCAGGTCAAAGGGTAGATCAGGGAATATGTAGAAGTTCAGACTATGTCTGACTTCTCCAGCACTGTCGAAGGTCACAGGGATATCCCTGACCTTCTCCCTGATAGTCAGTGCAGTGGAGTCACCTATCCTGACCTGCAGCGGTTGCTGCAGTTGCACCACTTTCATGCCCAGATGCAGTTTTTTGACTGCACTGGGAGACATGAAATTTCGGGTGGCTCCACAGTCCAGCAGCCCTTTGATTCTGCTGTGATTGATCAGTGGCCGGAGCAGGATGAGATCAGACTTGCTCTTCTTTTGTTCTTTCAGATGAAAGAAAAAAGCAGCAAGTGACTGACACTCAGACTGGTCCGGTACCTGGTCCGGGTCAGGATCCTCATAACTGAAGGATGCTGGCCGCGCAGTCCCCACGCTGGGAAGGACAGATGTCTCAACTGACGCTGCTGCAGATGCAGATGCAGATGCAGCACTAGAGGGAACTGCAGTCTCTAGGGTCAGCGTCAGTTTTTTGACTGAGTTGGACTGGGCATGTAGGGACAGTCCTTCAGAAAATGCTGTCCCTCACACCTCAAACAGACTCCCCCCTCCTTCCTTTTTCTCCACACCCCTTCCTGAATTTTCAGATCATGCCAGGGAAGGGTGTTGGGATTCAGGGGGTCTGTTGGAAATCGGACGTCACGTGGCAAGTTAGGGCGCCGGGCAGGGGTTGAAGAGCGACGTCCCTGGCTCTTTCCCTTGCTGCTGGAGGTTGTGCTGGAGGAAGACCCAGCCGTTTGGAAGGCCCCCAGTGCAGCCTGCAGCTGCTGAACGACTGCTGCAACATCTGGGACAGCAGCTGAACCAGTCCCATCTGGCGGTGTACCAGGCTGGGATCCTGCATCAGAGGCTGATCCAGAGCCCGCATACGCAAAGGCCGCCTTTCCCCTTCTACCACCGCGAGGGAAGGCGCCTTTCCTCCTGTCACTGGAGGGGGCCTGAACGTGGAGCTTGGCCTCCATGTCCAGTGCTGCGCGTCCAAAGGACCTCCAGTCCTTATGCCCTGCGCTGTACAATGCAACAGAAAACTTTTCAGGCGCAGCCCTGCAAAGTTAGTCAACAGATCATCAGCAGACATAACCAAACCACGGGTGGAGGTTAGCTGCTCAAACTCAGCAAAAAGGGCCTGCAGACTGCCACTGTAGCGCTGCTGTCCAAGGCGTACGATCTTGTCAGCAGCCTTACGTGCACGCTCTTTGTCTGCAAACCTGTCCTCCAGGGCCTGCAAAAGTTTGTCCACTCCCAGGGCTAGAGCCCAGTCCTCCAAAGTCTGCGACTGGGCGCTGGCTGTCGATGTAGCCCATTTCTGGGCTGGGCCCTCCAACAGCCCCACAACGGTCGCCACTTTCTGTTGTTCTGGGCACTGGAACCCCTTCCAGTAAGCCCGGGTTCCTGCTGCCCAGTCCCCAACATCAATTTTGGGATCATCGCCCTTGAATTTGCTGGGTGCAGGGATCTTGGGTCCTCGCTGATCCCCAGCAACTACAGCAGCGAAAGTGGGAGAAGGTTTGGCTTTAGCCTAGGAGGAGACAGAGGGAGATGACTTGTGGGAACTATGAGGAGATCCAGGAGGTGAAGGGGGATGAGAGGACTGTTTGGGTTTGGGAGAGGGGACCACAGGGACCAGAGGGGTGATCAGGTTGGCTGTTGTCAACTGAGCAGTCAAATTCTGGATAGCATCCAGGATCTTGGACCGCTGAGTCCCCAGGTCGCCTACCCTGGTTTCCAACCGCTGAATTCTCTCATCCCAATTGGTGAAGCGGCTGGCGGTGATTTTGTTCTGCAAAATCACAAGCTCAACCAGATACTTTGTACACTGGGCCACCCTCTCGCCAGTCATGGTCTTCTCAACTTGCTGCAGCAGAAACTCTTTTCTAGAGGCATCTGTTGCAGCTTCCAACTCAGCCGCCTCCTGTCTCTCTGCCTCTGCGAGCAGCGCCTGTTGCTCTCGCAGTTTTTCCTGACTTTCCCTCTTGCGCCGCTGAGCAGGGGTGAGAGGAGGAGGGGTAGGAGTAGAGGGGGAAGATTTTTCTTCCTCCTTGACTACTACCTCTACCTTTCCCTCACCTGAGTCAGCCGCGTTAGACATCTTCCCTTTCAAAACAAAAAATTAACAAGGTGAGACCGCAGAAGGTGCAGCGATTTTCAATCTGCTCAGACTTCCAGAAATCGCTGCATTGTCAATTCACAGGGTAAGGTGGGGTAGTGGGCACAAGCGGTTAGGGTTGGAATACAACCACTGGGGTTTGTGGTCAGGCCGACTGAATGTTCAGTAAAATCATTCACTCACGATTTCCTATCCCTGACACTGAACCTTCACTGAAGTTGAAACAAACACTTTCAGTGTATTCCAGGAGTCACTAACATTCCAGAGCCCATCAAAAAACAAAGATGCTTAGTGGTAGTGATAGATACAGGCAAGAACTGACTGAAACAAAGCAACAGATAGTAGCGATGCAGTAGAATAGACCCTGATGGCCCTAAACTCAAATTTCGCCACTGTTGACATCAACAGAAATACCCACAGATACTGCGATTTTCAGTATTTCACTGTAATTGCTCAAATTCACTGATTCAGGACTAGCGGTTCACCCCAGACTGACAGACTTGAATTCTGACGGACGGATTTTGAGTTATGACTGACCCTAGATAGCACAGACTATCAATAGACTCAGCGCAAAACTCAAATCCACAGTATCACTACTTTTTCTGTCCAGAACTCAAAGAATGATCATACAGGGTGCAGCGCAATACTGTCATGCAGTCCCATAACAATTTTGAGTCAGAACAGGTCAATAGATGGTGAGATATGAGTCAGGGTAGGGAGGAAGAAGATGGCTATGGCTGTCTTGCAGTCTGACAATTTCAAAATTGAGACCCTACTGACAGACAGACCCTCAATTCAGATTCTACTGACTCAAAACTAATCGCTACACAGGGATTCACACGGAACACACTCACTTGCAGTGTTTGACTCAGTGGATGATGAAGCTCTGGCTATGGCTGCCAGACCCTGATCTCGCCACTTGCTTACAGACTCTCTCCCACTAATTCCCACGCGTAGAATCTCCTGAAACTTGTTGATCTTGTCCAGTATGATGTGGCGATTCAGCCCCAACTCTCAGATGCACTGAATCTGACTCGGTGACGAGAGAAAACTCTCTTGAAGATATCTCGCCACTGCAGGGGTAAGCCGCTGGTGCTAAATTTTGCCCTTAATAGGGTTAATTCAGCAGGAGATTGATCCTGCGATCAATCCTCCCTCAGCATTGTACTAGGATTGAAGCCGCCACCCAGTTATCACTGGATTGGGGTGTAATTCGCCACCTTGAACCCAATCATCAACTGAGCTCAGAAGGGTGGATGGCAAAATACCCCTGTTCTTGCCAATTCCTGTAAGGCACTCAGATAGGCTCAGGGTGCCTGATCACTCGCACACTGATGCTTTGCAATCACCGCTTGTATGTCCTCTTCTCTACTGGATCTTCACTGAAGATACAGAGCCGCCATGGAACTTCTCGCCAATTAGGGCCAGAAGAAGAGGATGCCTCTGTTGCGCTCAACCCTCAGTGCTCCAAATCCAATCTCCGTTCCGATACCAACTGTTATGAACTTGGTTGTCTGACAATTTGTTTGCCACTCACACATAGAAGAACTCACACACGCCCGTACATGCATGAGACAAAGGGGAGGAGAAGACAACGTCCAACTGCACACAAACCAAAGATAAGCAGCGGAAAAGCAACCATGCACATAAGGGGAGAATACACATAGTGTTTCTCTCTCTCTGACACACTCCCAACAACCAATCACAATATGACACTGCGAAGATCACAATTGGAATATGACACAGATGATGAGCCAACTCAAC